GAGAGAGAGAGAGAGAGAGAGAGAGAGAGAGAGAGAGAGAGAGAGAGAGAGAGAGAGAGAGAGAGAGAGAGCTGAATTGCAACTGAAGATATAACATGGGTTTCAACATGGTTTTTTTGCGCCTGTGAATTAGTTTGGTGTCAGTTTTTATGAGTGTCTCTAGATATGAGGTTGAGTAGGTTAGTTTGGGTATCAGTAAAAAATACATAGTGCCATATCCGTTAAGTAATTAAATTTGATCCTATGTATATAGTATATACATTGCAAAATGCCATAGTGTGTTTAGTTTTCCGGTAATTTTTCAAAAAACATGATCTACGTACTTTATTCAATTTTCTGTTTTAAGGATTGATCTACTTTATTTAAATTTGTGTTTTAAAGTTTGATCTAATTTATTCAAATTTGTGAGACTGTTAGAACTACCAAACCCAAATTTCATTATTCCAGTGATGTAGCAAATACAACATTTTGGTATCATAAAATAACAAATGGAGGCAAATTATATGCCTCAAATCCTTATTACAACATTGACGGCAACAATACCTTATTTCACACATACATTAGTTATATTACATAATAAGATCCATATTGATTCATCCACGTACAGATACAGTGTTTAATAACTGCTTAGCCGATGAATGGGATTTCTGTCACAATGCCACAGTCATTGACAAAAACATAAACCCTTTCACAAACCAGAACTGGCAAAATAATAGCGTCTTCAGCTATAATCTGAGCCTTCACTTTCGTATTTTCTCTATCAATTATCTCTTTTGCTTCTTCTCCTCTTTTCCCCACCAACTCAGGCCAAGAGCTCTTCATCCCTTCACCTGCAGTGTCTGTACATTTACACACGTAAATAAATACATATATTAAGCTATGATACTGTAACTCTTTAAAAAAAAAAGAAATCGTAATTGTTTTCTTCGGATAATGCATATTGCATACATATTCGCCTTCTGATGTGTAGATTATTGTATATATTTTGAATATAATTGGTACCCTGAAAATAATATTTGAAGGTTTGGCTGGGATCAAAAATTTTAAGGGGTCACTGGTGGGAGCCAACCCGGGTTTTGGAGGGTTAGAAACCATATTTTATCAACTACGCTACTAAACCTTCGACAATTTCCTATACCAAAACAACATTTTATCATATATTTTTTGTGGTATCAGATACTTTTCAATATCCGCCCCTGTATATATATACTCCCAAAGATTGGTTTTAGGTTTTCACACATACCAAAAAAATAAATACGTAATTTTCTTTTTAGTAGATTATTTTTTGTTTTTAATAATTGTATATTTTACATTTTAACTTATGTTTTATTTTTAAAGTAAAATGAATTAATTAAAGTCAAATAATCATTCTTTAAATACAAAAATATAAAAACAACTTAAAATACAGTATAATTCTAATATATATTTTTTATACGCTCATTTTCAACAAAAGAATTGTGCATAATTTCAAATAGTTTGAGATGGCTATAGACTATTTATAGTATAGCTACGTATAGATAACATACAGAAGATGTGTGCATATTCTACCAATAATAGTTTTTTTATACTCTTAATAATATACCTGGGCAGTCATCCGACATTTCTCTTTCTCTTTTTTTTTTTTGTTTATTTTCTTTCTTTGGAGATTATGATTTATGTAGACTGCCCAAGAACAAAAATGACTATTTATAGAGAACTTTGTGGTGGCTATCACTTCAAATGAAACCGTTGAGAGAGACTTTCTAAAAAAAAAGAATAAAAGAACATTGAGAGAGAGAAAGAGAGAGTCGTACGCTACCTATTGAGTTTTGATCCAACGTGAATTTCACCTACTTTATATACACGTCAGAGATACATGGCTGGTATCAGGATATGCCAAACGACTGAACATCATGGTGGCTCTAAAATGCAGTATAATTAATATAGTAACGTGTATACTGTATTTATAGAGCAAGTCGTGTATGGTTTGAATACGATATGTAGACTTGCTCGATTATGTTTATTATATATATATATATATATATATAATTGATGGTGGCTCATATGAACCTAAGGCAGCCTTTCGTTGTCAAAAGAAAAACCCTAACGCATATATTTTTTAACTGGTGGTCATTTGCCTTTTAAAAATATTTTATGTGGTCATTTTCGGCATACAAGTTGTATTACTTTTATCACAACGTATAATATTTTCCAGAATTAAACTTTTTTTCCACACAATATAATGTTTTCGTTGAAACTTTTATTTCTCGTTGAATCACAAATCTCAATATTCTTTCTTCATAAAGTTTTATGTTTGGATATTGTAGTTTTAGCAAAACAAAAACAGTGGGATATGATTATAACATTTTGATGGTATATATTAAAAAGTTTACAAGAATTAATTTGGTATATATCATTAAAGTATATGTATCTTGTAAGACACACATCTAGAAAGAACTTAAGGTTTAAATATGTTTGATCTAGAGTATTAGAAAGATGGATGATCTATCAAAAATTATTCGTGATACTGTGTTAGTGAGGATAAAACATAAGAGATAATCATACAGTGATTACATGGTAAGTAAACAAATAATTCAGAACTTTTGAAAAATTAGCGCACTGTTCCTTGTACAAATGGGTCCACAGGCGAATAAGCAGACATGGGAACCCATTAGCTGTGGACAATCGAGACATTACAAGTGGTACCAGAATTAAATTCAAATGCATGAGTCTACAGTTACGATCTTGGGGTCCAAGTCTTGGGCGTTCGGTACACCGATCGGATTTGGTTCGGTTATTGTGGATTTTGGTTTTTCGGATGCAAGCTTAAAAGTCCCATTAGGTATTTTTACATTTTCAGTATGGTATCGGTACGGAACCATTGGATTTGGACCGGTTCGGAACAATTGCACAAGAACCATGTAAATCCGAAAATATAAACGGATGATGTTCGAGTTCGGTTATATTGTAACCAAAGTAACCAAAGAAGACATTTAAAAACTGAAGATAACTTAATAGCTTATAAATCTGAAACCAAACACACATAAATTTGAGCACACCAAAACACTTAACATCCATAACGAAATCAAATGCATAAAAAGTACTAAAGAAACAACTTCAAAATGCTCAAATTCCAAACATAAGAGACAATCTTCATGTAGAACTCTTACTCCAAGACTGTTGATGCATCTCCATTCTCTGTAAAATAAAAGTAAAATTGTTCATTCAGATAGTAAGAGTGATCAGTGTTACCTCTTTCAAGCTTGTCATCCTCCTCAAGATCTTCAATAATTTGTGCATTTGAAGGCAATCTTGACTCCAGCTTCAGATCTTGTTTCATCCATTGTTCTACACACATTAAAACTTCAACCAAAAAGTGAGTAAAAAAACTCCTATGTGGTGAAAGCATCCTCCCACTAGTGCTAAAAGCACTCTTCGAAGCAACTGAAGAAACCTGCATTGCCAAAACATCTCGAGCAATCTCTGATAACACTGGGAATCTGGCTGCATTCGTTCTCCAATATGATAGAACATCATACTCCATTCCAGCCATCAAATCCGAGTTTTCCCCGCTTTCTCTGAGGTAAGTTTCTATCTCATCCCTTTTCTCTCTAACCCCAGACTCATTCATATTCTGTTTGTACCTACAGAAAATGTAAAGAAAATGTTTAGAAGGTTATTGCATAGAAGAAAATGTATAGAAAATGTAATAAGGTAGTACCTAACATCAATCCGCTTGTAGCCAGCACAATCATCAACTATCTCCATTCTTTCAATAGACCTCTCGAGAAGACTGTGATTTTTTGTTAGGCTGAGATGATTGGTCATCTGGATCAGTATCACCTCCTAATCTTGTATTGTATTCCTTGAATAAACTTTTCAAAACAGAGATCAAGGAGTCGTACATCTCCTTATAATCGAACAGTGTCAATTCCATACAATTCCTCAAAGCACAACTTCACAAGCTCTAATGTCTTGCTTGGATCAAAGACAGAAGCAGCCATCAGCATCTTGTTCATATTCTTGAGACCATCCCAATACTTCTCGATTTTTTTCAACATTTCTGTTGCCTTGGACTTCAACTCAGGATGTTGAATTCCACCTTGTCTTGACATCCAAAGGCAAGCTTCCTCTTGATATCTTACCAGAGTCAACCTTATGCTCAAAAGAATTCAACCTAGTTGTATGTGACCTAACATACGAGATAGCATTTCAGATAGCAGCCACATTCTGATCTATTTCAGCCATTCCATCCCTCACAATTAGTTTATTATATGAGCAATACATCTCATATGCAAGAACTCACCACCTAAAACTAGAGACTCATCAGAAACTAATGCAAATGCACTCTGAAAATTCCTTAATGCTGATGTATTCACAGTTGCATTGTCAACGGTAATACAAAATACCCTCTCAATTCCCCATTCAGCCAAGCAATCTAGTAAAACAGAAGCTATAGTCTGATCTTTGTGATCCGTTACATGTTTGAATCCTGTGATCAGCTTCTTCAGGCGCCATAAAGGATTAATATAATGCACCGTAACCACCATGTAACTAGCACCAACAAAACATAAAGACAGAAAGAATGTGAAACCGATTTATATGTTAACTTGTAAATCAAGTATTTTTCTAATGTATTACATGTGGTTTGGGAAACCCATATGTCTGTAGTGATGGACACACTTTGTTTATTTCATAAGAACCATCTCTGCAGCGCCTCTTTCTTCTCCACATACGACTTCACGATGTCTTTGGTTAAAGTCCTTCTTGAATGAGGATTGTATCCTAGCTTTGCCTACAAAAAAAAACATAAACATAAGCTTATATGAAACTAATAACAACAAACACTTATAGTAAGATGAATAGCACTTAAGAACAACAAACCTTTTTACAGAAATGCTTCCATGCAGGACTATCAACAAACGCTAAAGGTAGTTGGGCCATCATGACCATCTCATTCGTTGCTTCTCTAAACACAGTTTCAGTAAGTTTACCCACCTTCAGCTTCCCATCCTCTAAGACATTTTCTTGTTTGTTTTTCTGAACTGCTAACCAAGCTTGATGGTTCTAGCAAATCTCAAGATGCTTCCTCAGGTTCGAGGTCCCTGATGAGGTGAGACACGAGAAGTTTTTCTGACATTAGTTGCATAGACACCGGGCTTTGTCCTCCTTAGTTCTTATGTAATGTTCCCACATATCTGATCTTGTAGGAAGTATTAGCTTAACCTTAGATGGTTGAGAACTCCCAGCACTTGATTGTTTCCTTTTGTCTCTACTACTGTCGGGAGTTGGACACTTTGCCTCATCTTCTTTGCTACGTGTTTCTCGATCAAGTGATGATGTTGAATCCATCTGCTTCAACAGAAACAATATGTCAGATCACAACTCCAAATCAATATCGATTTCAATTCTGAAATACAAACATAAAGAAATTGAAGATTTAGTTAAATCCTAAACAAGTTTCTAACTGAAATCGAAATATAAAAAAGTTAAATAAGCTAGATAACTAAATAAAAATAACTTTTCCAAGCAATAAAACAATAGTTTTGACATAGATTTAGACGAAGAAGAACTCAGAAGCAAGGAGAAGAACCTGCGTTACTTGAAAGCTCAGATGGAGCCGAATAGAGAGAAGTTAGATGATTTAAATAGGCCAGATTGAACAGTGCAGTCATTAAGGTGTGTAATCGAGGATAAGTTTTTGGGAACTATGGTTCTTTCAAGACAAAGAACTAAAGAAGAGGAAAAGACTAAGTATAAATGAGGAGTCGACATATGTATATGTGTTGTCATTAAACTTTGGTTATGTCCGATTTGCGAATCAGATAACGGGTTATAACCAACCCAAACCAACCTCCGAATTGCTGGTTTATCAAGTCCCAATCGATATTTCTCTTACATCCATGACCGGTCCGAAACCGAGAATTTTTTTTGGTTTGAGGTACAGATTTTGGTATACGTTAATTACGCCCAGGCCTACGTTACGTTTCGTGAAAGAGGGTGAACTGTAACACCCTCGTGTATGGTACATGTTGAAAGATTTATAAGAAGTAATTTGGTTGTATATCACCAAAGTGCACTTTTAGACATACATCCAGAAAGAACTGTAGGATTAAGCATGTCTAAACTGGAGTAATGGAACGATGCGTGACATTTCGGGAAATGATTCACAATATTGTGTAAGTGAAGACAAATCATGGTAAAAATGTCATGTGGTGACTGACGATTCAGTAAACAAGGAGAATGATTGGATTGACCGTAGATGTAAAAGTTTTGCGGTAGGATTTAGTATGTAATTTTTAATTTTGTAGCGATATGTTTTTGTGTTAGAAAAGAGATTTTACAACTTTAAAAGCATTTTCATATTTTTTTTAAGAAAAAAAATATGAACAAACAAAAAATAAGGATGTAAATGATGTAGCTAAATTTTAATATTAAAAATAAAGTTACATCATGATTAGTTAGCATCCTTGTTCAACGGCCGCGTAACCGATTTTGCGATTGCATAAGCGCTACTCGTGTGATGGCGACTTTCATTGATTCGGTTGCCTGAAATAGTGAAACGCGTCGTATACTGTAGAATCGCGGCGTCTAAATCTGTGTAATCAAAATCAAAATCAAAATTCTTAGATATCTGCTCCTTTCTCTCTTTGGTCGCTGCTACTTCCGTTTTCATTTCCAAGCGGTGGTCTCGTCAAATCTTCGACGTGTTCCCCATCTCTTTAACCGCCAATCATGTTGGTTATTGTAATCCGAAAATTTTGAATTATATACTTGATAATTGAATCGTGCACGAGGGCATTTTCCTTAAATAATATTTTGATCATATTTGAAGCCTTTGGATTACATGAAATCTTTTTGTAGGATAAGACAATCAAAGTCTCACTTTTGCTCTAGGTTAAGATACAAGAGAAACAAAAAGAGCTTTTCGTGTTTATATGTGTTCTTCAAATATCTTTGATGATTTTTGAACAATGAATCTTTCTTTCTCTCTCTCTAACTATTGGTTTCTGATTTTTTTTCTATCTCATTTGTCAATGTTTACATATATTTATATAGAGAGTGAAGAGTTGCAACTAATAGTTGCAATGGTTAAACAAAGAATTGCAAAGGTTAATGAAGAGTTGCAATGGTTAGTAAGGAGTTACAATGGTTATCACTAAGGGTTTCAATCATAAAGATGATTATTACCAAAGGTTGCAATCATCAATAGTTGCAATATTTTATTTTTATAGTTGCAATTGTTCATATAAACAATTGCAGTGGTTCACATGAAACATCGCACCCATTCACTTAAATATATAACAATCCTCCCCTATTTAAATGTAATCATAGATTCATTAAATAAATAATACATATATCAAACTCATGCATAAATGAAAATGTTCGAAGAATTGAATTCTCATATTAGTGTATTACACATTCCAAATATCTGAGAACTATGATGTCCTACAGATTGAATCTCTCAACCCATTTTAAACATATGAAGATAATACACACACGTGTTTCCGCACTACTCTAAGTGCTATACTTGACACTATTATAAGCCATGTGTCCAGATCCATTCACGAGCACATATAAAGCCAAGTCTCAGCTTATTGAAGCGGCATCACTTCACACTCATATAGGTAAATACTTTCAGTCATACACCTGCAAATGCATTTCTCAAATTATTTAGTAAGAATAAAACCTAACTCTTCTTGCAGGTTCAAGTACATACCTTTGGATGATATAAACAAAAATATGCTTCAATCTTTAAGTGTAGGCTTTCCACATTGAATTCAGCCTCTAACGTTGTATTAGAGAGAAATTTGGTATCCCACCATTAAAGATTTCAAATGGATTTTAAACCCAACCCTTTAGCCGACTTAATCACTAAGTCCCTAGCTAATCCTTTCTTCAAATGATCAGCTAAATTTTGTTGAGACCGAAAAAACTCTATTGTAGTCACCGCATGAGTGATCAGCTCAAATACTACAATATGTCTAACGCTCAGGTATCTAGACTTACCATTATACACTTGGCTATAGGCCTTAGC